GAGTTGCACAAAACGCATGATCGCACCGGCTAGTCTGGTGCGCGTTGCTATTTGTATTTTGCCACATGCTGTTTTGCTTCAGTGACCTTTATTTTAAGTGTCGGTGTATAAGTTATTATCATTTCGGATATTACTCAATATTCTGTGTCTCGTTTTGCGCTAAATTATTAAATTCGCTTTTCAAAATCATTGTAAATTAGTGCACTGATTCTCTACTCTTTTTCTTGCTAGCTTACAGCATATAAATATGTCCTTTGTAACGACAAAATTGACTTATAAACGTTTACGTTTCATGATTTTTTTTAGGATTTTGCGATGGTTGTTTTAATTCCTGCACTGCATTTATTACAAAGTTTTGTTTTTGTTTTCATATTTGTCAAATTTCAGGTGCATTTTTGGCGAAAATTTCTGAAATTGCATTTGTAATTCAAATCTCAGGACGGCATTTTTTCGCGTTTTCCGCAACTTATTGGGTATCCGAATGGCAACGATTTCGGATCCTTTAGCGCGTATTATTTGGGTGGATTGCGAGATGACCGGCCTAGATGTTAATACTAAAACAATCGTGGAAGTGGCATGCGTGGTCACTGAAGCTGATTTAACAGTAATTTTTTTTCTGAAAATTTTTCTTTCGAGAGCCTTTTTTATAAAATTTTTTTTTTTGAATTTTTTTTTCGAGAGCCATTTTTATAAATTTTTTTTTTGAATTTTTTTTTTCGAAAGCCTTTTTTATAAAATTTTTTTTTGGACCTTTTTTCGAGAGCCTTTTTTTATAAGAATTGAACGCAAATTCCGTTAAATACTGCAGCTTTTACTATATTTCAGGTGGTCGAAGACGGGCTGAATGTAGTGATATCACATCCAGAAAATGTCTTACAAAGCATGGATAGCTGGTGCAAGAAGACATTTGCTGCAAATGGACTTCTGAAAGAAATACAAGCCAGTGAAATATCACTGGAGCAGGCTGAACAAGAGGTCTGTGTCTGCAGGTGTATTTCAGCTAGCGATATCTTCGATAATCGTGGTGCGGCAGTGTTATTCTGAAATAGCTACAACAAGTTTACTAACCCAACTACTGCGATTAATATCGCTAGAATCGCTTAAGATTTACGATGCGCGATATTTGTTGTTAGCGACATTGAATCACATGGAGCTGAATGAATAGCAGTTTTAGAATCTCCATAGAATCTTCTCCATGCTTTGGCTTTACTCATTTTACACCATGATATAATTCACTCACATCTTCCGGCCAGCTGGAGCAGATGATTTCCAATCAGTTGTTTAGTGCATTTTTACTGTTCAGCACTATAGCGCTGCTACAGTGAGCAAAAACACATACTGTCGACATCCCAAAGCAGGATCACCAGACGTTGCAGGGGTTTTCTATACTCATATGTGGTCTAAATTCAGCATGGAGGTTAAATTTCCTGCACATGGACATGAAAAATGCTCAGTTTTATTGAAAATTTAAAAGCGATTGCATTTTGCGAATTTAATCCCATTGCGACCCCATTCAAGTCCGCATTTTCTCGATGAAAAGCAATTCACCAGAAAAATGCAGGAAACTGATAATCATGCATGCTGGAGGCCATGTGGTCCCATAGTGCAACACCTTTGTCCCAGGTCGATGTCCTTTCCTTCTCAATGCTGAAAAAGGCCAAAACACAGTCGGTATGAGTCCGAGTATTAAGCTGCAGCGCAGGAGCCATTCCCAGTGTTAAGTATTTGCAGCCTTAGCGCAAAAACGCATGAGCGTGCCGGCAAGCCTGGTGCGTTGCAGCCTGGGTTCTTAGATTGTCAACGACTAGTTTCTTATAAATTCCAGGTGCTCAGCTACGTTCGGCGACATACGAATCCAAAAGTTTGCCCGCTGGCTGGTAATACCGTCGGTTGCGATCGAGTTTTTTTACAGAAATATATGCCTACATTTGCAAGCCACTTACACTATCGGACGATTGATGTATCAAGCATTAAAGAGGTATGCTAGCTACCTACTGAAAGGGTTATTTTATGTGGGCAAATTTTTCGCAGCGAAAAGAATTTAGCTTTGTCATAAACTTTGGGAGAAAGGATCCATCGGAGCACGGGTGGGCAACCGGCGGCCCCCGAGCCGGATCTGGCCCGCTATCGGTTTTCGTCCGGCCTGCGGAGGAAATCGGAATTTGGTGCCTAACTTGAATCGGGGTTTGTATTCCGCAATGCCTCTGCACTCTCATGAAAATAAATAAAACTAAAATACGTATAGGGCAAGCAGATGACGGTATGAAAACATTTTGAAATTCTGTGTCTGTGATTTAAATCCTGACTTCAACATTCCTGTTTCAAAAATTCAAGCCCAAGGCTCACATTAACCTGTTGTTTATTTTTTTTATTGAATGAACAACCGGACATAAAATTATTTGTTTTTATGCACTTTTGCATCTTATAAAAATGCAAAACGTATAATTTCGTGAGTATGTCTTTGCGAAAAGATGGCCCGCGAGCTTGGGTAGATACGCAAGAAAAGACCAAGGAAAAAACAAATAAGTTTTTTTACCCGCATGCAAGAAAAGACCAAAACAAAGGCGTATAAGTTCCACGTGTTAAACTGTAGAGCAACAACCATTCATACTGCTAATGATCTGACTGCGTCAAGTTTAGTACAAAAATACTTTTTCCCACGGACAAGCCCGATGCTGTGCTACCTGAGTTTTATTAAAAAATGGCCTGCGAGCTTGAGGAAGTACGTAAATCAGGCCCGAGTGTTGCTAAAAGTTGCCCATGCTTGCACTGGAGGATCTATTCACATGAGCTACTTCTGAGCTGCACCACTTCTTAAAAGGAATGGGCGCGAGTGAGTTTTTTTCTTTTGTCACAGTTTTTCTTTATTTCTTTAACTGTTTAATTGTGAATCTTGAATGTTTACAAGAATTTTTTAGTTAGCAAAACGCTGGTATCCAGACATATATGCAAAAAGGCCGCGGAAAGCGGAAGCCCATAGAGCTCTGGATGATATCTGCGAAAGCATTGAAGAATTACAGTGGTATAGGAAAAATATATTTGTGCCTCATACTTAGATGTTTGTTTTAATTGTTATTTTAATAGTTCTTGTTATAAAAACAGTCCGAAATTCCTCGTGGAGTATTGTGAAAATCCGCTCAGATCCATCATAGATATACTAAAATCTGTCTCAAAATAGTGTAGTTCAGATTGTTTTTTTCTGAAATCTGCAAATTTCAGAAAAACTCGAAAATGGATTTTTCTCATTTTAGGAGTTTTTTTGTGAATTTTTTCAAACTTTGTGGTTCCATTTCACACAAGAGATGGTGATGATGATAAATCTGATGATAAATTAGAATGTTCTAAGGCAGATTATGCCTTTTTACTCCAAATTTGTAGGAGTTCCGGCTGAGTGAAAACGTTCTCATGTGGTTTTTATCATTCCGTTGTTTATTTGAACGTTCTGTTTTGACATATCTGAATAAATAATTTGATAAAACATTAACGGCACAGTTTTATTTTTTCGTTAAACCATGAAACAGTTCGTTTTTCGGTGGATTAATTTGATATTTTCATCAACTATCGTGTTTCTCCTCGCCTTTAATGAAGCTGGCAATCTTCATTCTTCTTTATTTTTTGCTTCTTTCATCCACATAATCCCATATAGCCGTTCAAGAAATCAAATGTACCACTCCAACTAGTGTGCTTATAGCTAAGGGATGAAACACGGACTGCATCCTAAAATGCCTTGCAGCATGATATTTAGACTGGCCTTTATCTCGTATACTATTATTTTTGACTGGAAAGCCGTTTTCGTTGGTAATTCGCTCAGGAGTCGGGACGAATTCATTAGTAATTCACTGGTTGGGTCAAAAATCACCGTGAAATTTGTCCATCTTTTCGATGTTTTGATGCTTCAAAGTTTATTTAAAGTCAAATGGAAATTTTGTTGAAAAATGCAAGAATGGATGATAGAAAAGGTAAAAAGCTAAAAAAGGGGAGATGTAAAAAAGAAGTTTTAAATTAGGTAAGAAATGTTTCGGTCCATTAAGTCGTATACATTTCTTATCGTTACCACAGTTGGACTTCGTCATTACAACGACTGTGGTAACAATATAATTTAGTTAAGAATAAGAATTAATTGAGATGGAAATGCTGGTAGTAATCTTAAATATGGGAATTGAAAGAAATGAAACTAGTGTAAGAATTGAAGTGTATTAAGGAGATGGGAGAAAAATAAGAGTAAAAGGTAAAATATGTCGACCTCAATTCACAAACAGTTTGTTCTTCAGTTATTACGTTTTGGTTATGCTTTTTTTGCATATATGCAAATGTAAAAACGCATATTGTGGCGACCCATAGTGTGTTTGTGTGTGTGTGTGTGTGCGTGTGTGTGTGTGTTTGTCTGTCCGCGTATTTCAACTCGGCAACTAAGCAAGCTCCGGCGCTAAAATTTTGCCAGTGAGTTAGTTCCCAAGCCAAGTGCCACCCCAGGGCCGCGCTTGCAACCTTCGCGCATGTCTGGGCCCTCCGTGCGGCCCGTGAAAATTTTTGGCGGCAAAATTGCCAACTCGGGAACCAGAAAAACTAGAAAGCCGAAAATTTGAGGGGATGTTCCCCGTCCACGTTGGACTTAAGGATTTCAAATTCATCTCCCAGCTGTGCATGGTTTTCACGTCCGAACCCATGAAAATTTTTAGCTGAGAAAATGCTAACTCGGGAACCAAAAAAGCTGAAAAGCTTGAATTTTAACGGAATGTTCGCTGTCCAAGTATCGCTACTTAGTTGCACAATTAACTTTCTGAACTTCGAGGGCCAGTGTGTCATAAATTCTAGCTACTGGAACTCTAAGCGATCTTACCACAGCACGAAATACTGCAAAAACGCATGACTGCGCAGGCCCGTCTTGTGTGCGTCGCCAGTGACTTCTTACTGGGTTAATTGGCTTCTCTCCGTGTAATGTGCGCCATTTTACTGATGCTTTGAGGCGAAAAATTTGCATCTCCCGGTGATGGTATAAAAGACCCCTGTATTGGCTGGTTGTTTCAGTTCAGTTGTTTTCACTGGGATCTCTCGGACGGTTTGTTTGGGATTATCTGTTAGTTCCATGTCGCCGTACATTCAAAGATTACATTAGTTTTCTCGTTTTCCCTTTTCGGTTTGTCTCCCTCGCTCGTCTCCCCTCTCCTCGAAAATCAATGTCCACTATTTCTGGCCCCTTTGTTCTTATGTAATGCTTAATTGTACATGTAGCAGGATCAGTAATCTCCGTTGTGTAATATTCATAGGTGAGCTCAGGGGTTTTTTGCTCCTTCCCCCCCCCCCCCCCCCCCCCCCCCCCCCCCCCCCCCC